GGCCTGGTCTTTGTGGGAATTTGACATTGACAGGAATATTGTGTTTACTAGCTAGTTTAGTCCAAGTGTGGATAATTCTTGAGCTGGTTTCAGAAACAAAAGGAAAACTGCAGTGTAATGTACCGCTGTTGGGTTTGTTAGTGTCAATTTTGTTCGTGAGTTGACTTTTATTGTGGGGAATGTTGGAGAGCTTTTCAACTATATCTGGTGGGTATTTATTGGTGTGAATAAAGGAATGCTTTAAGTTGTACATTTGCAGTTATGTTAAACTTATATTAAAGTTTTTCTTCATTACCCATTCAAGCCATTTCCAGCCATTATTAGTCTCAAAGTGGGTTCCTCATCATCAAATTTAATTTAACATTTTATACATTGGATAAAATGAATTTTGAAGGTGAAAGTTAACCTTACTTTCACTTTAGTATCTAAACAGTGTTCACATCAGTAATTATTACATGCAACTGAATAAACATCTGCTTGTCCTTACAGTTCATACAAACTAAAAAGATGCTTTTCAGTGAGATAAGCATGTGACACACATCTCTACATTCTTCACTAGAAGATGTCTTAGACTTAACAAAAGGGTCAGATAAACTCTTTAATGTTCAAAGTTAAGTTTTAATTATATTAAAAGCTGGAAAAGTAAACATTAACTACTCTAAAATGCTCGTCTGAAGTAGCAGCAAAATTCTTAAGTAAAAAGGAATTGAGAACAGAATAACATGATTGAACAACGACTTTCTTACCTTCGAATTCCAAGCGGTACAAAAGAGAGGTAGCATCAACAATGTCCAGTAATGATCCAGAATGTATTCTCTTTCCAACCTGTGTGTCAAAGATATCCACTGCTGCTTCATGTTCTCCCTAATCAATAAACAATATACAAAAAAATTTACACAATACTTGTTTTTCTCACATACTCCCAAGCATACATGCGTATCTAATAGACAGTAAAAGTTATATAATTTGGAATATAAACAAACTCAGTGGTTTTGTCATACTATTCTAGTGTTCTAGTAATAAGCAAGTGTAATATTCTTGCCATAAGTAAAACTCTTCTGGCAATAAGTACAAAACATTTCTTATAGATTGTGAAGTAGAAAAATATTTCATACAGTGTCTAGAAAGTTTAAATATTTTAATTGGTACACCTGTATGCAAAGGAAATGAAAATGTAGAATATTTTTATAATATGTACTTCAAAACTATAATCACAAAATGAACACCAGTCACAAAGTAATGTAGTTTTGATCAGTATTTATTACAGTTGTCCAATACATTACCTAAACTAAGACCTTTAAAATATACACGATATTAACAAAATATTCCAAAAATATTCTTAAGTCAGAAGGTGGTTGTGTCCCCCTGAGGGATCTACTACTGATACTCTGTAAGCCTACCTATGGCTAGATCACTGCCAGGGTTCAGTTAGTAAATACTTTCTACCAACGGTTTAAACATGCCTATGTTCTTTAGACTTCATTTCAAAACATACCAGTAAGGGCCAGTTGAAACAAAGTCAGATTTATCAAGGCAAGTTCTAAAATTTCATTATTATTTCGTTTCTTTCGAAACAATATATATACACACAATAAATAACACCAAAAGCAATAATATAAAAACACCAATTACTAATGTTATCAGTTAAGATAACTAATAGTACGGAGAAATTTAGGGTTAAAGAAAAGTAAACAAGTCGGTTTCCTTTTTTTTTCATTTACTTGTGAATTTGTTATTGCATTATATATATATAATTTTCAATTTAGGCCCGGCATGGCCAGGTGGTTAGGGTGCTCGACTCATAATCTGAGGGTCGCGGGTTCGAATCCCCGTCACATCAAACATACCAACCTCCGCCTTTGCCTGGTCCCAAGTCAAGGAAGAGGGTTGGGCGCGAGGCTAGCAACTCCACCCCGTAAAAAACAACCGTTGGCGAGGTGTTGTTACGGCCCTATGCTCCACTGGGAGTTCACAGAATAAAAATAAATAAATAAATTTCAATTTGATTCACTGTATACAACCATTGAATGGTATTACCAGGATAATTTTTTTCCTTAGTTTACTAATAAGTGTATGTATATATAAAAAGAGAGAGAGGTAATTTAGTATTCAATAAAATATAGTTTAATGTAGCATCAGCTTGTAATAATACATTTGGTAATCTAAATATAAGAACATGATAATTTAATGTTAAATATTACTTTGATCTAATGAAAATATATGTTAAGAAACTCTGAGATATTTATCCACGAACGTAGTTTTTCTTTTATACGTGGGAAAATGTCATAGAATTGCTTAGCATAGCATTTAATCTCATGAAATAGGTTTAAAATCACATCTAAAAATATGAGATTTTAGAATTGTGAAAACGTTCTGTAGCTCTACATGGCCAAATATAATGTATTACATTTTTGTTTCTTTACAAAAACAACAAATATGAGATTTTAGAATACTGTGAAAAAGTTCTAGCTCTACATGACCAAATATCATGTTCTACATTTTTCATTTTTTACAAAAACAACAAATATGAGATTTTAGAGTTGTGAAAACGTTCTGTAGCTCTACATGGCCAAATATAATGTACTACATTTTTCTTTCTTTACAAAAACAACAAATATGATATTTTAGAATAGTGAAAACGTTCTGTAGCTCTACATGGCCAAATATAATGTACTACA